TAGCAGAGGGTGAAAACGTGCTTAGTAGTAGTAAAAGGCATTTTAATGCAGCTTTTCCCTTCCCTCATTGTAGTTTAACATGGCGAAGAGGTTATCCCCTTTTCACCACCAGTTCTCACTTTTCATCACAAATTTACAAAATAGTTCCGTTTGGGACAAAAATAAATTCATTTCCAGAAATATTGAAAAATACAAGATCAAAATGCAGGATAAAATTTGGGCGGGAAAAAATTATGGCGGGAAATTCATTGTTTGTACGTATTGGAAACTGTCATAGGCAACACAATTTAGCAAAGAAATGCCCCTTTTACCGTTTTGAAGAATTATAAATTTAAAAAAATTGTGTCAGGAGAGTTAACCATGATTTATCAGCTCTCGCATAAACGACATTCAACACGGCACACAGGGAATGTACGGCTTTATTTGTACCAGGGCCGTTATGAACCTTAACAGTACCCAAGTTGTCAATAGCACGACACTACTCAAAATGTGGCCATATTTGTACAACCCAATACTAAAAAGTAGTTTCGACAAATCTGTGCATGTGAATAAGTACGGTAGTTCTCTTTTTAGAGGATGTGGTGGCCCTGAAAAGGGCCGTTTGTTTAGTGTATGCAAAGCATACTAATTAAGCACGCTCACCACGAATACGGCGGGCAAGTTGGATGTCTTTGGGCATGATTGTGACACGCTTGGCATGGATGGCGCACAAGTTGGTGTCTTCGAAAAGACCGACGAGGTAGGCTTCGCTTGCTTCTTGCAGGGCCATGACGGCTGAGCTCTGGAAACGAAGATCTGTCTTGAAATCTTGTGCGATTTCACGGACCAGACGCTGGAATGGGAGCTTGCGGATCAAGAGCTCGGTGCTTTTCTGGTAACGACGGATCTCACGAAGAGCGACGGTACCTGGCCTGTAACGATGTGGTTTCTTTACTCCTCCGGTGGCTGGAGCGCTCTTTCGGGCGGCTTTGGTAGCCAACTGCTTACGTGGTGCTTTACCACCAGTAGATTTACGTGCGGTCTGCTTTGTACGTGCCATATTGAATATACTTCTTCTGGAACAGAGGAAATGATATGATTTCGAATCTTGGCGCGGCCTATTTATACTGCAAGGAACGTGTTCTTATTGGCCACAATTCTAAAAATAATAAAATGTGATTGGCCAATAAACGTCATCGGTGATTGGTCGAAATTAACTCGTTCCTATTGGTCAAAATTGAATCAGCAGAATCCGAATTTGTACTCAAGCTCTTACAAATTTCAACATTCAGAATTTTTAAAGTTTGTATTGACATTTATAGCGTCACAACACGTATTTCTCGTATTTAATAGCTGTTAAAAAATTCAGACCGACTGTATTTTATCATGACACGTATGATTTTTTTTAAATCGGTGATAACGCATCGAAATTAAAATATGAACGCTTGTCTAATTTTTTTAAAGTTCTTTATGCGCTTATTTATATACGTTTCTATTTTGATACGTATGAAAGGTATTTTTGAATAACGCTATTTTGCTACTCCAGGCTCGTTTTGCGCCGAAACGTACAAAGTCTGTTGTGACCGTTGAATAATGCAACGCGGGAAAGCAACAATAGATGTATGTGTTTTGAGCCTCCTTGTGAAGGCCGTCGTCGACTGTGAAGGTCACCCATTTGAAAACATGGGACGAGAACAGAAGATGTTTCCGCCCGACTATAAATTTTCATTCATATTTTCCCAATTTTTCTGCTACAGCATACACCCAGTTTGAACCAAATTTTTTGCTGTGCTTCACTTCCGACAATGTTTATTTTTATAAAATCCTCCAGCCCAGTTTTCAAAATGGGGATTCCTTTGTTACAGAATACGCGGGAAGTAACTCAAGATGGACGCCGACCGATCAACAACCATGTGCTGTCAATGTCTAACTATTTCAGCTTTACTAATGTTTGGTGGTTCATTTGTCAATGGTCAATATATGAATTTTATGTGAAACCTCACTAACAGTGTACAAATTTTGTTATTTAAAAGAAAATTGTTCAAAAAAACAAATATTAGTGACGCGGTGCAAAAACCGTCATGTTTGCTTATCTAAAGCAAACTCAGGCAAAGTCCAGTACAGAATAACGTAACTGATACTCTGGGGTGACAAGAAAATGGAAGTTTATTTTACCGCGTTTTGAAGTACAGTTCAGTTCATAAAAATGTTGAAGTGGGCGCAAAATAAAGGCAATTCTGCTGACCGGGGTTTGACCTCATTATTCATGCAATCATTGGATGAAACGTGTCAGCAAATACCCAATCAGTAACGAGGTCAGTAAAAGAGCGAAGGTTTCAAGGTTATATGTAGTGGTTTCTCTCACGTTCGCAATCGATGTATAAATAGGACTAAAATGTGTTCACTGGTATCAGTTGACTTTGATTCAAATTCAGCAATAATGTCTGGTCGTGGTAAAGGAGGCAAAGGTCTAGGAAAAGGAGGCGCCAAGCGTCATCGAAAAGTTCTTCGTGATAATATCCAAGGTATCACTAAGCCAGCTATCCGTCGTCTAGCACGTCGTGGTGGTGTGAAGCGTATCTCCGGTCTTATTTATGAAGAAACCCGTGGTGTGTTGAAGGTGTTCTTGGAGAACGTCATCCGTGATGCCGTCACCTACACCGAGCATGCCAAGAGAAAGACAGTCACCGCCATGGATGTCGTCTATGCCTTGAAACGCCAAGGCCGTACTCTGTACGGTTTTGGTGGTTAGATTTCTACAAACTCAAACCATACAAAACGGCCCTTTTCAGGGCCACCACATCCTCCAAAAAGAGAACTACCGTTACTATGCGTGACTGTGTGTGTGTGTGTGTGTGTGTGTGTGTGTGTATGTATGTATGCTACATGTTTATGACCCAAAATACAGTCATTTCACTATACTATTTTGTTGGTGTTTATTTGTTCGGAATATGTAACCAGGAGTGTTGAAAAAACACTAAAAATAACTGCCATGTATGTTTTTATCACGAACTTACAATTTTTTTTTATAATTACCATTGTCATAAGCAAGTCCACAGGCATTTTCACTGAAAACTCCCAAATGGTACTGTGGGATGGTTGGACTCCCCTGAACAGTGTAACAAGATTATCCCTGCCTGTGTGACATGCATCATTTCTGTTCACAACGACTTCAAAGTTGAGTTTGTTTTTTCTCGAATTTTCACCGGCGTTCCACAGCAGCGCGCAAAGAGCCCATAGAAATGCATAGTGCAGTGGTTCGCGTCTTGTGGCCTAACTCGGCCCGAGGATAGCGTTATATTGGGTGTTTGGCTTGTAGTTTATTCCAGGATATTTTTTTTGATTAGTTGAACGTATGGGATGAAAGGGTTATTCGCTGAATCTTCCCATCAATCCAAGTGGAAAAAAATTTACAATCTGATAAACTCGTTTTTCTCGGCGTGTGTCCATTTATAACCCCCCCCCTCCCCAATTTATACCTCCCAGTTTGGTGTACGCTGCCTTCAGTGGCCAGGAACGTACACAACCCACATCGGTGGCGACTAGTTTGAATCTTGTCCCACATCAAGATGTTACGTAGTTTTGGGGTGGAAGGGAAGTGTTCAGTTTCTGGTGACCGTTTGTCTAATCAAAGTCTCTGAGACAATATAGCACACAACATGATTAGTAAAGATGTCTTCGGTTTAGTTCTTATCTAATGAAAGTATTATGTAACCATTTCCGTGTTCACTTCCCCCCAACCCACACTGGTCTGTATGATTACTAGCAGTGATGTCATCAGCACAAATAAATGACCTATATTTTGAATTATATTGGTTTTTACAATATGTTGAATTTTGAAATAATCGGGTAATTTATGTCCAATGCATTTACATTTAGGGCATTTCATTTGAGAATATATTTTGTGCATTTTTTATTTCGATGATTTATTATATAAACTGTATGGCTACCAAGATACTGACTCTAAATAAAGGATTCTGTGGTACCCACTCGTCTTACTGGACTTTTTATCAATAGCTCAGAAAAACGCGGGAAATTGCCACAATAGTTTTATTGTCTTTACGTGGTAGCTGAATCGAAGCTAATTGGGCGTTTGTTGGCGGCGATTGTTCATAGTAAGAATGGTAGGCAATCCTGAACAATTCAAATAGTGTTTCAACGTAACGTTTACGCGGACGTTTGTTTGTTATTGTTTCCTCCAACCATAATAAAACGTGCATTCATGTTTCTATTTGTGTTTATTAATTTAGTGTAATAATAAGTTAACTTGGACAATGTCCAGCGTTATAATACCATGAACACACACACAAGTCGGGACTTGAACTTCACAGGAGCCACACTCTTGAACCCTATTCTTGGTCTACCCTTTCTCAATTCGTGTTCTAAATTGAAAAGAGCCTGTCATTGCAGCCATTTATACTCTTAGTGCAGAGGCGGTGGCACGATATTTTGCATGAGAGCCGAGATATGTTCCCAACACACACACGAACCCATGTTTGTTTCGTCTGACGTCTCAATCGATAATTTAAACATGGCATGCACATTGAAAGATACAAAGTCCGTGTTGTTGTAGGTTTCATGCCAAGATAGATCGGTTGACAATATAGATAACCACAGTCCCTCTATCAGGGACTGTGAGATAACCCATAACTAATATACAGAAAATTTGAACGGATTTAAGCAATTTTTTTTTTCATAAATATAGGTCATTTCAATTATTTATTCTAGTTAATGTAATGTTGTAGTGCGTACATTCCAAATAAATTATATTAATCTATCCAGCCTGAAAACAGGAAGTGGCGCCATATTCAGACGAACTGTGTGCACGTACGTCTTTACACTATATAGAATCATGGACGTACTGGAGATACGTCCATGATAGAATGCAGACATGTGCATGGAATTCAATCCAATATGACACAGCCTCATACTCAGACGACAACCGAACATTTACTTCACGCGCCTAAATTTATACACGACAGTCAGGTTTCACTTTGGAAATACGACAATCGGTGGTTTATTCATAATTAGCAGGTCGTATCTGATTAACAATTAATTAATGTCAGCGATAAGACTAAATGCCAACGGTATCACCCCAATAAAACATAAATATTGAACAAACATTTAAACTGCAACTGGAAACAAGTCTTGGGTATACAGAAATCACATTATATGATAAGTGAAATATATAAATATATATAATAAAATATGTTAAATTAATATCTGAATCAACAGAATGAGTAATTTCTCGATTGTTCTATTTCGAATAAGATGTGGTGATAAGTCCATTACATGGTTCTTCTCTATACGCAGTGTGCCTAGCGCGTCATTGGTCTAACATCGAAAATGAATAATAATTATTGAGTTCACTGTACATGTAATTAACACACATTTGAGCGCTCACATTCCCGATACGGCATTTCTCTTTTTGGAGGATGTGGTGGCCCTGAGAAAGGCCATTAGGTTCGTGCATGCATAGCATACGATTTATTTTGAACTGGTGTACTTGGTGACGGCTTTGGTGCCTTCACTGACGGCGTGCTTGGCAAGCTCACCGGGCAACAAGAGACGGACGGCAGTCTGGATCTCTCTGCTCGTGATGGTTCTACGCTTGTTGTAGTGAGCCAAACGGGAAGCTTCTGATGCGATACGCTCGAAGATATCGTTTACGAAGCTGTTCATGATTGACATGGCTTTTGAAGAGACACCGGTGTCTGGGTGAACTTGCTTCAACACCTTGTAGATGTAGATACCGTAGGATTCCTTTCTTCCCCTCCGTCTATTCTTCTTGTCACCACCACGAGCGGCGGCTTTAGCCTTACCGCCTTTCTTTGCTGCTTTACCGCTTGTTTTGGGAGGCATGTTGAACGTGAGAAATCAAAGTTAAGAATTACGTGACTACTTAAAGAGTTAAGTATTTATAGTGAGCGATATGTAAATGAAGGATTCTGCACGTTTTAGCGAGCAGCAGAACGAACGCAATAGAAAACACATTTTTTAAGTATACTTAAATATATTGCCTATCTAATGTCGACCTTCTGAATTCCGTTACAAGGTCATTGATCGTGATTGGTCGGTTATGACTCACTCTATTTTAATTGGTTTAAACAGCTGGCAGTCAGAATCCGGGCAATCCGTATAAATAGCACGACTAAACCGCCATAACGGCATTGTTGACTTGTCTAGCAAAACTGATAATTCAATATGTCTGGTCGTGGTAAAGGAGGCAAAGCAAAGGGAAAGTCCAAGACTCGGTCCAACCGTGCTGGTCTTCAGTTTCCAGTTGGTCGTGTACATCGTTTTCTGAGAAAGGGCAACTACGCAGAGCGTGTCGGTGCCGGTGCTCCAGTCTACTTGGCTGCCGTACTCGAGTACTTAGCCGCTGAAATCCTCGAATTGGCCGGTAACGCCGCCCGTGACAACAAGAAGTCGAGAATCATTCCCCGTCACTTGCAGTTGGCTGTCCGTAACGATGAGGAATTGAACAAACTGATGTCCGGTGTGACCATCGCACAAGGTGGTGTACTGCCTAACATCCAGGCTGTACTTCTGCCCAAGAAATCCCACGCCAAATCCAAGTAAATCGTGTGCTAAGCATACACAAACCAAACGGCCCTTTTTAGGGCCACCACATCCTCCAAAAAGAGAACTACCGTACAATGTGTATGTGTGAAAACATGCACAGAATGTGTAATAATATAACACAGTGTTTACAATATAGCAGAAATAATATTATGTTTTTTTAACGTTTTTTTTCCTGCTATATTATTAAAACTACAATTTGTATATTGTTATCACACATTCCGTGCATAAATAAAATAAACATGGACAAAATAATCCCATTTTGAAAAAAAAATAAAGTGTGTATGTGTTTGTATTCTCGTTGCAATAAAGGTAGTCTCTTTCTTTTTATAAATATTCATAAATTTCGCAATTCAATTGGAAACTAGAGGTTTTCACATGTACCAATAGTATCGGAACGCCAATTGCACTCTGTTCGGCATTGGTCAGTTGTATTCAGATGCTATTGCAATGAAGGAAATGACGAATTACACTCGAATTCCAGTCTCCGTCGAATCATGAAAAAGCTATGTATACTATTTTAGCGTGTTTGGCTCAATGCAGACTCTCCATTCAGCTAAGGTGCCAACATTCTTATTGTGAGAATATACATGCTTTTAAATTAGGGACAACTAGGTTGGTGAGATTACTGGTTAGCTAAAACTAACGTTAGTACCTTCCATGGCTAAAATAACGTACTAGTATTTTACAGTACTGGTTACTTGCCGCATTTTTTCGTTATACTGCCCTCAACGATATACACTGTGACATAGCAGAATCACAGTATTTATCGTCGGCAAAAGATTGGAATTGTCCTGCGAATACTGTAAACTCAATATCCGCCAAACCATGAAGCTAAAAGGGACCCACGATTAAACTAAAACCAAGTGTCACTGAGTGTTATCAAATAAAAAAAAATCATGTTTTGCAGTAATTCTGTCTCGTCGCCAGTATCGTCATCAGGCTAGAATGTACGTCACTTCCGTAACAGACATAGAATAACTACAGAACACAGTGATTTTTGTGGATACTTGATACAAAAAATCTGAGAGACTCCATATTGATATCCTGGTTTGAGGACAATACCTTGTGATTTTTTAATTTTTTTACCTAAATTCAAGAGTTTGAAAATAGCAAGTTTCACTATACAAGATACAGTACACTCCTCGCTATATATTCCATTTATTTACCAGGTAACACGTGACCTCTGCAAAATCCACGACTGCTGACATCCCGGGTCAGTATGAATTAATTTGCATATCAAAAGTGATTTAGTATAACAATGGGATGAATGTGCTAGCTCTGCTCAAATTGGGCTTTGTTATTTATAAATTTCTGTTTATTTCGGATCTACGACGCTT